CAAGGGATTAATCTCTCTGAGATTCTCTCTCTTTTCTACTCTTTCTGATTGTTTTCACGTTCTTTTTTAACCTTAGAAAACATATATATATATATAGAAACCCAAAAACGCATACAAGGTCTCGCGGTCGACCGGACCATCTGCCGCGGTCCAGAGACTTTTCCTATCTCGTGCACGTTCGCGGTTGACCGCCGAGAGCACCGTGGTCGACCGCACTACAGTTTTCCTGTTTCCTTCGTATTGCTTCATCTTCTTGATTCTAGATTCGGCTTCGGCTTCAGCTTTGGGTTTACACTTAGACTAACACTCCTAAATTTTCTTCGTTTTGATTAACTTTCTAAATTTTTCTGCCCATAAAATAAATTTATACTATAAGACAATTATGTCTAAAATGCCGTTGTAGTGAAGATACAAACTCAAAAGAAACAATTAAAATATTTAATCACACCAACGCACGTTTGCATCCCACCTAGTATATAAAGTGTGTCGCCATTGTGACATAATATATATATATATATATATATATATATATATATATATATATATATATATATATATAATATATTCATCACACAGTTAGACAGAGTTTTGACAGCGTATGTCGGTGGGAAATAATATGTGTGTGTTTATATATATTAAAATAATAGAAAAAATTGAGAAGATTTATTAATCATTGCGAATTGGATGGTTGAACCAATTAGGTCCTTTCATATCTATTGCTTCTAAAATCTTTCATTCCTTTCCCATTCACTATGATTTATCCATTTCTTCACTATTAACTTTCCTTGAATAGCAATTTCTTGGCTCTGACAGAAGAAAGCTAAAAGAGAGAAATTATATGATTGTAGTATTCAAGAGCATCTATTTGGCTTCTAAAACTACTAATACTTTCTTCTCAAGTTATACAAACTTACTAAACTTTCAGAAACCTCTTATAATAACAAAACTTTACAACCATCACATGTGAAATTAGGATATAACCATTAGCCCCTAAAAATTTAAAATTTGTATTAAAAAACCTAAAGTTTTAAAATTTGCTAAAAACCCCTCAAAAGTTTAATTTTTTCAAGGGGGCTGATGACACTCTCCAGGTTTCATGTGTGTTTGTTGTAAATTTTAAAATTTCATGGTGTTTTTGTAATTTTGAACTTTTGATTGTGAATTTTTTCAATTTTTGAAACATTGGGGATGTTTTTTTGTAAATTTTAAATTTTCAAGGCGTTTGCTAGTAATTTCTAGATTTCACATGGTTACTTGTGGGTTTTGAAATTTGAGGGTGTCTTTTGTAAACTACAAAGTTTTAGGGGGATTGCTAGTAATTTTCAAATTTCTTATGTACGTGTAGGTTTTTAAGTTTTTAGGGTGTTTTTGCAAATTTCAATGTTATAGAGGGTTTCTAGCAATTTATAAAATTTACGTTTGTTATTTATATGTTTTGAAATTTCAAGATGTTGTTTGTAATTTTAAACTTTTGATGGCGTTTTTTTTTAAAAAAAATTATAATTTGAGGGTGTTCTTTTTTTTCAAATTTCAACATTTAGGTATTTTATGTAAATTTTTAGATTTGAGTGTTATTTAGAATTTTCTTAGTTTAAGGCTTGAAAACTCAAGATGAAGGTTTAGAAGTGTAATTGATATCATCCGTAATTTAAACAAAGTTATATAGGATTTTGGATCGAGATTAAGTTAAATATTTAACATAGTTATAAGATAATTACGAAATTTGAAGTTGAGGATAGATTTGATGTTCATGTGGGATTAAGATTAAGTGAAAGATTTAATATATTTCTAGGATAATTAGATCTAGGATACTTGTAGTTGATGCTAGATTTAGATTAAAGTGAAATATTTAATAGGGTTAAGGGTAATATTGTCTGGGAAATATTTTTCTAAATTCACACTTTTATAAGGAGAATGATATGATATGATATCAATATTGGCAAGGGTTAATGCATACAAACCCTCCGGATTAAATTTTTTTAGGCTTCTACCTTGCATAAAATTTAAGAAGATAGCACACGGGTAAAAATGATAATTCTATCTGAGGGTAAACGTGTCAAAAGAATATAACTCAGAGAGTCTATTTGCAACGAATAAACCACAGTGATTCTACAGGGGTCTTTGTGCAATTAGCCCAAAATACAAAGAATTTAAATAGGAGCCTCGTACCCTCTTCATATTCTACAATTCCTGTCCCAAACTATAACTAATCCTACATATATTAGGATAATGCGAGCTTACTTTATCAAAACTTTTCCTAATGTGTCACTTAATTAGTGGAGTATTAAAAAAAATTGAAGGGAGACCTAGTCAGGATTTAGTACCATAGAGGCTCGGCCTGGTCCCACTGTTTTCTTTTCTCTGGGCTAATGAATTGAATTGACTCAATAGAAGTAGGTTTTATATTTAGCTTACATATGTATATAATCTAGTAAAGTTGAATTGTTAAACCATCAACTGAGTCCAATGCAAAGATTATGCACACGCGTTAAGTGGTAGCAAGACATTAGTGAAGTGATTGGCACTTACGTTGGCAGCTGATAGCCATCTACTTAATATATTGAAGACAAGTTTGTTGTGATTAGCTAAGTTCTTTTTGAGTGTATACTCATTTTCATCTCAAAATGGGTAGATGACGGAAAGTTTAAAGAGAATATATAATTTTACTTAAAGCTGTTAGCCTAATATATATGAACAAGTCTTCTACCAAGTTGTCAAATTAATAACTGTAATTTTATTGACTTAAACATATTGCGACAATTAAACATATTGCTACAATTAGCACTTTCATATGCCGATTATTATTATGCTTGATGTAGATTGCTTACAGTAAAGTCAAACTTTGAACACCTAGAATAAACCACCTCAGGCAACAGAAATCCTTTACAAAAGAATATACATTGAATGCTATTCAGTTCGCAAGTAATTGAATTTTTAACAATTATATACATGTTAGAAGTGAAATCATCAAATCCAGGATAGATTTAAGATTAAAACAAACATAAAAGTTTTTGTTTTGGAGGCCAGGAAAAATTCTTAAGAAACTATAAGAATATGAGTAGTAGGTCTTCTCTAATAACATAGCAATAAAAAAAGACAGAAAATAATCATTTTTTATTATAACTATGGTATCTTCAGATAACTTTCTTGTCTGTAGTTAGTATTTATTATTCCTCGAATTTTTATTAGCCCTTAACTTTCCTAAATTAGAGAATTTCCTAGTTTACACATTCTGTAGGACTTATTATTCCTGAACTTTTTTATTAGCACTTCACATTTCTAAATTAGAGAACTTCCTAATTTATACTTTCTTTAGGACTTATTATTCCTCAACTTTTTTATTAGATGTTAACCTTCCTGAATGAAGAGAGGGTGGGGTGGGGGATTAAGGTCACTAAAATATAGAGGGATTACTCCAATTTACCTTTAAAACTCTGAATGGACGATGGAAATTCTAAATATGGTTTTCCAGAATTTCAATGCATAAAAAGGATTTTGAAAAACTCATAATTAAAATCTTGTTTGCTTGCTATGAATATTAAAGAGGACTTGCATGGACAACAAAATCTAACCTAATTCTTTTTTGGTCGAATGCGAATTTTGTTTATGATATACTGAAATCGCAAAGTCGACGTAACTTTTAAGAATCACATACAATACATCTATCCTACGTGGAAGCCTTACATCCATTGTATGAAAAATGCTAATTTGATAAAAAAAATTGTGCTGTTAAATATGTGGGTCCCATTTTTCAATGTAGATTAGCAAAATCTCCACTCTATTCTCTATACATGAAAATAGAGTCACTCTTTTTTTGTAAGAACTTCATTTTGATTAGTGTATAACAACAACAGACAATAACAGAGTCTTTATCTCACCCCATTAGAGTCCGCTGTCTTCTATTTCTATTATTATTATGGATCATCTCTTTTGTTATATCATATCATTTTCAATTGTTTATAGCTAAGTTCTTAGATACTCATGTTATCCTTTTTTGCTATACTAATTATCATCTCATCAATTCTCTTACTTAGCGCATTTTCATTTTATGTGACCAAATTATCTCTGTCAGTTCTCTCTCGTTATGTCCTCCACGGGAGCAACTTTTAATCTCCTATATATGATATGATTATGAATGAAGACGCTCATTTATTAATCTCAGTCTTAATGTATCTTAAGAAGTCCATTATGACATTCTCTTGTTTTCAACCGCGCGCATCTTTTTTGCCCGTGTTGTTTTTTAATCGCCATCTCACGCGCACGTGCGAATCATGGTGCTAAACACCGAGTGATATCAGGTCCCAGTATGCCTCTTTCCGCGTGGATTCCTTCCATCGACTTTTTTATTTTTTTATTTCTTATTATAATAACATTTAACCACCTCATAAGCAATGAAAACCCATCCCAAGGCCGAGCTCGAGGGTCGAAGGTCGAGGTCTTCTCCCTCTTTGCTTCGTCCATGTCCATCTTCTCCGAATTAGGGTTAGGGTTAGGGTTAGGGTTAGGGTTTTCAATCTCCCCATAAATCTCCAATTGTACCAATGATCCTCGATTCTGATCTCTATTATGCCTTGGTGGAAGAGCACCAATTCTCCCTCCTCCTCCTCTCCTTCTCCCGTCGGCTCTGCTTCATCCCCTCGCCGCCCTCGTAGAGAATTCGCCTCCATATTCACCCGCAACATCCTCGTCGGCCTCTGCCTCCCCTCCTCCGCCGCCGCCTCCTCCGGCGACGCCATTCGCTCAGCCGAGGCTCACTTCGCCAGTGGAAACTTCCGCCGTCACGTTCGAAGGACGTCGATGCCGCCGTTCTACCGAATTCCCTCAAACCCGACGACGAGCTCTGCGGTCCCCTCCTGATGTTAGATGCCGCGCGAGCAACCTTGACCCTTGTTCGCCTCGAGTCGTCCGTCAGTCCTGTGCTGCTGCGCGCAGCCGCTGCGCTGCCGGGAAAGCGCGCCGCAGTCTCCGACGCGGAGGGAGGTAGGGTTTTCGCCAGCGGGGTGTCGGTTGCCCTCGCCGAGGGAGAGGGATGAGGGAACTAGTGGTCTTCCCGTGGATTTTTCGTCAGAAGCAGCAGCAAGGTATGAGGGTTTCGAATAAAATCACTTCTTTTGCGAACGATTCAGTTAAAAAGTTAAAAGGGAAAATGCAGATATTTGTGTAAAAATTATACATACTTCATTCTTATACCTTTTTCCTCGCATACATGACAAGAATAGAGATTGTATACTGTTTAACTGTGTTTCAATACAAACATAGAAGCTTGTGCACAAATATGGGTTCTAATTAGGTGTTTGATATGAATGTAAAAGCCTCGTCGCGGTAAGGATTGCGAGATTCGGTGTCTGTTAGTTGTTTTGTGCGGCCACCTCAAGTATCTAGTAAACTTTCCTCTTCTGCTTTAGTAAGAACTATAGCATGCAGATTTTCTTGCTATTTCTCTTACTAGGTTTTCTAGCTAAGGCACTTAAGTTTCGAACATTACTGTACATTTGTTGGGTGCAAGTGAGAAAAAAGATAGCTTGACCATCTTGTTTAAGCATGATTTAAGTGATGACCATTCATCTAATATGCAACAAATACGTTTTCATGTAATCATAAACAACTAGTTCTAACCATATCAAACCAGTGGTACACTGCTTATCATGGTGGT